TAATCGACTTTGTTCCTTTATCGGCTGATAGTAAAATAAGATTTGTCTCCTTGATCTTTTTTCTAACGCTTCGTAATGTTTCGAGGTGCTATGACGATAGATTTGATCGATGATTCTTCATTTTGTTTTGAATCATAAGACAGATTCTGCTCACTATCTCATCTCTTTTCTTTTTGATTGCCTCTCTCGACTGAGGAGTACTTTTTCATTGACCGCTGTAAAATCAGAAATGGGTGGAATCCTTGACAAGATGACAAAATTTAGACCAAGAGCGAGCTCATCCTTTTCCACCTCACTGAAAGTGATTTGAGTAAGATTAACGACCAAAGAATCGCGGGCACATTCCATCTCCACACTTTCTAGTCACTTTCTTTCGTAGAGCGTTTAACTTCTTCATACGACCCTGTTTAACTAAATCATAAGTTCGACGATAATCTTTATCACTTGCTTGTCTTTTAACAGTCTTGCTCCGATATTAGATTTTTGATACTAGGTTAGAGTACTGACAGATTTACACTTACACTTTACTGGGTAAAATAAGTTAGGATAAAAGCAGATATTGCCGTAAGATTTATCTGGTACACTACAGCTTGTTTCTGTGCGTCAGAAATACTGTTGCTTGTAGCGACTCTAAACCAGCAAGTGATGGTTCCAGGAGGCTATTCTCTATTCGTATAGTGACTTTTTAAGAGTTGCTGATTTGAACTTGTGTCACGTTAGTGGTTCAGCTCTGCGTTATGGGTCTGCATATGTCCAGCAATAAACGATGTACGGTTATAGCAGTCGTAAGGTTAAACATGATTCTTCTTTAGCTCTGCTAAACGCAGCACCCCAACTGCATGTATTGTTATCAGGACTTCTTAGCACTGCTGCGATCGCTTTAAATCGTTTTTTTCAACAGGTATTCGATGCCGGTTTGGCAGTGCTTCATGAAAATCAGTTTGTCCGCCTCATCACTCAACACGTGCCCCCAGCCTGCGTGCAATTGTTGGATCGTTCGCGGCATGAATTGTTCCTGGACAAAGCAAGTGTTTCTTCCACAGACGTATGCGGACCAGTGATTTTGATTTTGAGTAAGGTACGTGTTGACATTTTATCAAAACCAATTTTGTGCACTACTAATTAATGTGTTCGCACGTTTCTTCAGGATATTCAGTACTTCCCGCTGCACTGTCTACCGGTATTGAGGCAAAAATGCGTCTGCCGCTGCTCAGGTGTCCACATTTTGGTCAGTCTCTTCCAACGCTGGAAGGAGGGACTTGCCGTTAGAAAAGAAAATGCGTTTTACATCCTGAATCCTAAGGCGGACCTCACGTTCACACAGCGCTACTTTGAGCAGTGGTTCCAAAGGTAGCACCTTTTATGTATGTGCTTCTTTGTCAATAAGCTACAGATAGGTCAGTCAGAATAGAAACGATGACCGACAAAGTTTACCATTTCACCTCAAGTTCACCACCTACAAGACCAAGAACGCTTGACGGTAGTATGTCGATGAGGTTCGCCCAGGAGAGCTACTAATTATTATGAGTCTAAATGGCTTTACAAGTCATTTTACAGTCGACTTATCAGCTTTAAAAAGTGACTCTAGAACTGAGCCCTAAATCTGTGTTGATTGTTAGTGAACACCATATTAGAACTTCGACTTCTGCAGCTCCTGCGGACTACCAGTCAGGCTTCTATGCCTGAGATCCACCATATTTGCATTCGCTCTTCTTTTATTTCGTTCTTTTGCGTATTTTAAAGTATTTCTTGGATGCCTTATACTCCGTTAAATGCCTTCCTTGCACTTAGGGTTGTGCTCCGGTTTATATAGACAGGAGATGCTTAGTTGATAGAGCATCGGACTCGGAATTTGGAGGTTCCATATTCAAGGATTACTGACCTTTCCCGCACGGAGTCTCACAAGGATTACTGGCCTTTATATCTTCTGAGGTTGATAAATAGGTGCCACTCTGCGGGAAGGAGACTTCGCACAATACCTGCCATACAGCTGCTGTCGACTCTGCCTTTACAATAAGGCACTCCTGACCGATCGCGTGGAAATCCGTGCTCCCCGCCTCACCACTAAATTCATGGAAGGAATGGAGACAGAAATGGCCTCATAATGCAAACACGACCAGCAGTCTAACTATTACAAACTTTCCTTTCTAGTTCATAACACATTTTGTTTCTGTTAACCTTCAAACCCATATTTTATTAAAATTTTCCTGCAATAAAATAGTGGATGAAAATAATGAAAAATGCGTGAATCTGCCTTCAAAATAGATTTTGAACTTCAAGTAGCGCGACATCTTGTCACTCTGAATGCATGCCGAGGTCGGATATGCTCACTCAACCGGTGAAAAATGTGTTCATATGGTTATAGGATAGCGATTGATTATTAAAACATATGCGTTAACCGATTTTCTTGGGTCTGTCTACTCCACAGTTAGATGATCCTGGTAACATCTTTCTAAATCCGTTTCACAAGTTTTTGTAGATCATCAGTTTCTTCGACAGTCATCGTGAAAGCCAGTCATTTAGATTAACTCAATGAAAATAGCTTATTTTCTTCGTCTCTCTTTATGTAGGGCTGTAAAAAATCGAACTATCGATTGTGTAAAATATTTGTGTATTGTATATTATTGTGTAAAATCGACCAGCAGATCTTAACTGCTCACTTGACGGTTACTCTTGAGGAAAATGCCAAGGGCGAGAATGACGTTACAGTGATCGTGTTGAGAGAGAAGACTATCTGAAGAAGGCTGCACTACTAGCCTGCAGTCTCGACAAGAGCGAAGGGACTAGCCCACCGTTACTGGGCGGGTAACATCAAAAGGACATAGATGATCATTATTCGCACCGCCGGTGTTGCACAGGATCGAGTTAAGTACCTGCATAATGTCGTCTTATTGAACAAACGATGGCGTTGCTTTTTAAGTAGAAACGCAAATGACAGTTTGTAGCTGCTGGAATGTCGAACGTTCTTGAACCTCCACGATGGAATCTATACATAACGTTGTTCTTTCCTGAAGCCACTGATGTTGTGTTAACATCGTTAGTTGCCTTTAGCCAAGAGTGTCTCGAAAGCAATGTCTATGTTACCGTCCAGAGTGGTAATCCGTCTATATGGCTTTGGCCGTATCTGTGTGGATTAGAACTGATTCGCTGTTCAATCACATGAGGTAGCCTTTCTCTGCGACCGCCTAATGGCCAGTTACTGTTGTTTGAGTGTGCAGCGCTTCGCCTATATATCAAATTATCAAGCCAGCTTAGCAAAACAGTTTCATAATCAAAGGCTTTTACAAGTGAAAGGCTTTCTATACTGTCTGGAATTTGTACGAAACTGTTTTGTATTCTGAAAGTAGCCCATTTATTAGTCATACGATGAACAGTGAAGTCGACGATTTAACGAAGTTTTTTCAACTTAGTTAACTGAAACTAAGGACAGCGTGAAATATCGGAAATAAAGTTTATCTAACTTTTAGAACAGTTGGACGAACAGTGGCATAACTTGCATAAAACAATCGCAGGACAACACTTATTATTTAAATGAAAGTGTGAAATCAGGCTGATGTCACGCTTGCGTCCAAAGTTGCTTCGTGACTAATAACCTGGAATGATAACGGAATACCGTCAGTTTCAGCTACGAAAATCCAACTTCTGACGGCTTGAAACTAGCTACATCTTTGACGGTTCAGATGTATGCTTCTTAATGTTGGTATCCATTCATTTCATTTCAGCGAAGCACAATGGGCTTTGTCCTATATTTTTAGAAAACAGATGTCAAGTTTAAATTAAAGTTTTGCGAAGTTACTTTAGAAGCAGGTTATTTCATGCAGGCCACAAAGCTGATGTAACAACAAGCCATTCATTTAGTACATTCGTCTCCTTGCGTATGGCAGCAACTGTGCATTAGTAAGATACTGCAACAGCTGTTACAGTGAGATAGATTTCACGGAAACCTCAACCGGGACAAGAGACTTTTCAAGTTCGAAAAACTTCGCTGCATAACTGCTTTCGCTCAGCTGACTTAATAGCTCACTATTAATTTCACATCGAGGTCGAGCGCTGCGCGCTCAAGCTGCAGTATCTGACCATTAAGCAGTAATCGCGAAAGGTTAGCACTCTGGACTTAACAGTGAATCAGTTTCAGTATATATCGATATGGACGGATTATCACTTTTGAAGGTAACATATGCCTGAGACATTACAGCCCGTGGTGTCCTGCTCCTTCAGCATAATCATACTCCTTTATCTGCTTCAGGATGAAGAGACAGTTGTCATTCAAACGAACGATCTGTAAACAGCGAGTCATGCATTTTACCGACTGAGCAATCCCGCGCAATCGTATGATTTTAAGTAGATGGCACATGAATTTATATTTTGATCGTGTGTTGGTAGTCATGATGAAAAAAGCAGAAAATATTGCATTTATTTGACACGCCGTAAACAGTATTTATAGGGGGTAAGTCAGTCCCAGTGCTTCGGTGCATATCTTTT